GGGATTGCGAAATGGTGGCTAAAATGGAAGAGGAAATGCACCGGATGATGTGTATTTTCCTCGCAGTCTTGTTCAGTACCAGGAACCGATTGACAACATTAAACTTCATGCATTTGAAGATGCAAGTATTCACGGTGTGTGTGCTGCTGTGTATGCTGAGGTTTTACAAGCGTCAGGTGTGACACAGGGTCTGATTGCCGCCAAATCCCGCCTTGCCAAGAAAAGTCTGACGATTCCTCGTTTGGAACTCGTGTCAGGCCACATGGCAGTCAACTTGTCAACAAATGTGCGGGCTGCGCTAGAAGGCTTCAGTATGACGTAGGATATACAATGCTGGCTCGACAGCACCGTAGCCCTACACTGGTTGAACGATGACGAGTAGTACCGCCAATTCGTGGCTAATCGGGTTAAAACCATGACATGTACCGACATCCGAAAACCCAGCTTACTTGGGAGCTGAAGCGGCAGTGTGAATGAGGCAGAGCTATTATGGAACGGTCCGCCGTGGTTGTCTGACCCATCTCAGTGGCCTGCTGATATTGTGACAAAGGCGACGGATGACAGCAATGCAGAGAAGAAGGTTCAACGAGAACTTTTCGCGCTCAGTGTCGAAGCAAACGATGACTTTGACACTGGTCTCGAGAAGTTCGGCTTGCGTAAAGCCATGAGAATTTGTGCATGGATCTTGCGGTTCAATCACAATTCTCGTCACCCTTCCGAGAAGATCATAGGACTTCTCACGACCAAAGAAATTCAGCAACAAGCGAGCGCAGAGCAGAGGGCAAAGACGGTCAAGTTTGCCCGTGACCAGGAACAACTGAATCTGCAACTAAACAGCGATGGTGTATTGGAATGCTGAGGACGCATTCAGGGTGAGCATCCGATTTACTTACCAGATTCTAATTCTTTCACAGCGGAAATAGTGAAGCATGGGCACGAGACAACTCTCCATGGGGGAGTCCATGGCTAAAGTACGAGAAAGATTCTGGGTGCCAAGGCTTCGACGGCTTGCTAAGAGAGTAGTGAAGCACTGCTTTGGATGCAAGAGGTTCCAGGCTCAGTCCCTTCATGACCCACAACCAGGTGATCTGCCGAAGTCACATACTGAAGGGAGTACACCTTTTGATGTCATTGGGGTGGACCTTGCAGGACTAATCAAGTATGGTGGTAGGTGCAAGACAGAGGAGAAAACCTACGTCGTACCATACTCCTGTTGTCTTACCCGCGGAATCTTTCTGGAAGTGCTTCCCAGCCTAGGGACGGGCGAGTTTATCAAGAGCTTTAAACGTCTGATCGCGAGGAGGGATCGACCATCCCTTGTCCACTCAGACAACGGTTCTACGTTCACAGCTGCGGCAAAATGGCTCACGAAAGTGAAGGAGGATGAGAAGTTCCACTCATTCTTGAGTGATCAATCCTTTACTTGGTGCTTTAATGTGAGTAGAGCGCTGTGGTGGAGAGGACACTTCGAAAGACTTATTGGCTTATTTATGTCTTCATTCTACAAGTCTGTGGGTCAGGGTCTACTAAGCTGGGACGAGCTCTGCGAGGTAGTCCTTGACATCGAAGTGTCGCTTAACCAGCGACTCCTCAGTTAAGTGGAGGATGACCCGCAACTCCCTACACTAACACCTAACTCCTTACTGTTTCTGAAAGGTAACATTTTTCCTGAGCTCGAGCCACATCGTCTCGAAGACCGGGACTAGAGGAAACG